CCTTTCTGCCTCTTATCCCAAAATGATTCCTAGAACCTGTCATTACATTGTAAATAAGTTAATATTCAACCTCAGTTAATTTGTTTGCTGTAGATACAAGTTAATTAAATGAGTACTTTTATATTTATGAAAGCTTCCAACAGTGATTCAAAATGCATTTTAAAATTCAGAAACCTGCAATGTGAAAAGTTAAATGTGACTAGTAGTCTTCAAGTAAAATGAGCTAATTGTACAGTTAAGTACTGAATTCCTCCAAAACATAAGGGTAAAAGAGGAATTCTGTACAGAAGTAATTTGTAAAACCTTGAAAGAAAGCTAAGTGCTGACTACTATTGTTGCACTTGTTTTAGGCACTAGCATATAACCCTAAGATTTTTCACATTGCTTAGAAAATACTAGCAGTTGACCATAAAGCATTAATTGGCTTTTCTAATCATGCATATAACTAATATTACTTTGAACTTCGCTGAGAAAAATGTAAAGCAGTATGAGTGTCTGAGAGTGTCTCAATCTGTCTGAGAGTAGCTAGTTAAAGTGTAAACTTCCTGCTGCTACTTTTCTAGTACTGTTCGATCAGCAACACCCATGTTACGCTGGTTTTGGACGTATCTTAAGGATAGCTTTTTCTGCTCATGCCAGATGGAGTGAAAACTTCAATGCTAATAAATGAGACTAGGAAATAAGTTCTCTTTTATGGTCTAAATAAATCTTCAGAACTGAGACTAATACAACTGTCCTATTCATACATTTAATGAATATTAAACAATTCTAAGAATGCTCTGTTCAGCCTGTGAAACTTGATCCTTTCAGCAGAAATATTTGTTTTTATATATTCTCTTTAAAGCTGAGCTTCGATGCCTTAAATAGTATTGAGTCCAAGACAAAACCCCTCCTTCCCTCTTTCTCAGTATAATGGTGAATTTCAATACATAGTAACTCCTCACTTAACCTTGTCCTGGTTAACATTGTTTCGTTATGTTGCTTATCTATTTGAGTATGTGCTTGTTTAAAGTTGTGCAGTGTACTCTTATAATGTAGCTTGACTGCCTCCTTTGTCCATTACCTGTAGGATTTTCTGGAAAACAGCCCATCCTCGAGGAGGCTGGGAACCGGGGTGGCCAACAGCCCTTGTACAGGTCCCCTAAGTTCCCTGTGAAGTATGGAGCTGGGCACCTGCAGTTCAGCTACCCCTTCCTCCACTGGTGTGCTGGTCTTGCCTTTTTCCTTGGAGCTGCTCCCCAGAGCCTCCTGCTTGCTGTGCTGTAGGTGAGGGGTTTAGGACGGCAGAGGGGTTCACCTTCTCTCACCTAATCCAGTCATCCTCTCCTACTTCTTATACTCTGTCCACAAAGCAGGTGACAAACAACTACAGATTTCTAAGTTTAAACTTCCTGGCCCACTTAATGGCAGTAACAACAAGGGGTCCTGTGGCACCTTAAAGATTAACAAAGTTCTGAAACTTAAAAGGGTGGAGTACTTGAAGAAGGGTCTGTGTACTTAAAGGAGCAATGTGTGTTTCTGTCTGCCTATATCAAATTCACACACACTTTGTGTGAGTTCTCAGTCTCTAACACTGTGCAGCAGAAAAAGGTATACACTCCAGTGGGTTCATCATGTTTAGTTTCTGCAGCCACCTCCATGCATTGATTTTCCTCAGTCCATGCTGCCTTGAAGAGTGTAAGACTACATTTACAAGAAGTTTTACTTGTAGTGCGAAGTTGGATTCCTAGTTTAAACTCTTTGAGTTAAAGCCAGGTCTTAATTTTACTATGAGATATCATTTGGTCTAATACATGAGAAGTTGGAATATACCAAACTCTTACGATTGTAGCAAATTGCATGCATGCTTTGGAGCCAAAATGTTGCAGTTTTGCAAGCTCAGTAGAATCAGATTGTTTGTCTGAAATTCACCATTTTGCAGTAACAAGTGATGTACGTATACTGAATAATGTTAATATCCAAAAGACAATATAGGGGTTGAATGTGGAAAGTATGGACGCATACTTTTCCTCCTCTATGTAAAAGTACTAACATTTACTCTGTATGTGACACTGATTTTTGCTTCCTATTATTAACTGCCAGCAGCATCATTCCAGCATCTTTGATTATGTAATCACCACTGACTATTACTCGAGAGTGAGGTTTGTAGGCAAGCAGAGCATAGTCCTATTTTTCCTATGGCTCTACTAGCGAATCATATTGCTGGAAGAGACCTCAGGAGGTAGAGTCCAGCCCCCTGCCTAAAGCAGGACCAATCCCAACTAAAACATCCCAGCCAGGGCTTTGTCAAGCCGGGACTTAAAAACCTTTAGGGATAGAGATTCCACCACCTCCCTAAGTAACCCATTCCAGTACTTGACCTCCCTCCTGGTGAAATAGTTTTTCCTAATATCCAACCTAGACCTCCCTCACTGTAATTTGAGACCATTGCTCCTTGTTCTGCCATCTGTCACTACTGAGAATAGCCTCTCTCCATCTTGTTTGGAACCTCCCTTCAGGAAGTTGAAGGCTGCTATCAAATCTCCCTTCTGCTGGATCCTCTCTATTGGGTCCACATCCGTTCTGTAGTGGGGGGCCTAAAACTGGACGCAGTACTACAGATTTGGCCTCACCAAATAAAGGGTTGTTGAATAAAGGGGGGGAAATCACTTCTCTAGATCTGCTGACAGTGCTCCTTCCAGTGCACCCTAATATGCCATTAGCCTTCTTGGCTGCAAGGGCACATTGTTGACTTGTATCCAGCTTCTCATCCACTGCAATGCCCAGGTCCTTTTCTGGGGACTGAACTTCTATCTAGCCAGTCGGTCCCCAGCCTGCAACAATGCTTGAGATTCTTCCTTTCCAAGTGCAGGACTCTCTACTTGTCCTTGTTGAACCTTATCAGATTTCTTTAGGCCCAATCCGTTGAGGGGGAAATCTCGCTCCCCTGGGGTACAGAGCCCCCAGAAGGGTTCGAGGCCGGAGGTCATATCAGTGAGGCAGGAAAGAAACTTAGAAGAGAAAACTTTATGATGCATGCATGCAGGCTGTCACTTCCAAGAGTGAAGCAGCAGCCCTGACAGACAGATTCAGGTATCCTTTATACAGAATGCTTAGACAGCTCAGTTGTGGATTGTTCTTCTTTAACATATCAAAGTCTCAGCAGAAGTACTTTGAGACTTCTGTTCACCCCAGGAGTGCTAGAAGTAAGTTTTTACAGTACACAAAGCCACATGAGAACTTGAGTGGAGGAGTCTACAAGGCAAACTGTGACAAAGATAAGGGTTTACATGACAAATTGTGACAGACTAGGAGTATCCATGAATTTGAGATAGTCATTTGTAAGGGTCTTTGATTAGAGCTAATTTGATTTCTCTCTGTTACAGGGAGAGAGGCCTGGAAAACTTTTTAACCCTTACAGCAGTTTTCTTTTAGAAAGTTATGATTTCTGCACAGTCCCCCCTTAGACACAATTGGAGTTATTTGATTTTCCCCACACTCCCACACCGTCTAGGTCACATTGGACCGAATACGTTCCTTCCAACATGTCTACCTTTCCCCCCAGCTTAGTGTCATCCGCAAATTTTCTGAGGGTGCAATCCTTCCCTTCGTCCAGGTTATTAATAAAGATGTTGAACAAAACCGGCCCTAGAACTGATCTTTGGAGCCCTCCGCATGAAACCGACTGCCAACCTGACATCGAGTCATTGATCGCTACCCATTGGGCTCAACACTCTAGCCAGCTTTCTAGCCACCTTACAGTCCATTTATTTCCTTAACTTGCTGGCAAGAATATTGTGGGAGACCATATCAAAAGCTTTGCTGACGTCTAGGTTTATCACATCCACTGACTTCACCATGTCCACAGAGCTAGTCACCTTATCATAGAAGCTAATCAGGTTGGTCAAGCATGACTTGTTCTTGGTGAATCCATGTTGACTATTCCTGATCACATTTCCCTCTTCCAAGTGCTTCAAAATGGATTTCTTGAGGATCCTCTCCATGATTTTTCTGGGGACTGAGGTATGACTGGGCTGTAGTTCCTTGGATTGTCCTTCTTCCCTTTTTTAAAGATGGGCACTACATTTGCTTTTTTCCAGTCGGCTGAGATCTCTCCCAATCTCCATGAATTTTCAAAGATAATGGACAAAGGCTCTGCAATGACATTTGCTATCTCGCTCAGTTCCCTCGGATATATTAAAATCCATACCCATGGATTTAAATCTACAGTAGTGCAGTTGAAAGCTCTTTTACGTAGGTGCTTTTATCTGACAGGAGACCGCACTCCTGGGAGTGGCTGGAGAAACTCTTCTGCTGATATAGTGCTGTCCGTACCGACACTTACATAGGTGTATCTGTCACTCGGGGGTAACACTTCAGAGCAATGTTAATTATACCACATAAATGGTAGTATAGCCCTAAAAACTTGTTTCCTTACTCCATAAAAAAGATTTTCATTGAATTGGTGAATGTTGAGCAGAGAAGCACAAGTTTATAGTAACTTGCTTTGAAAGGCTAACTCCGTTCCTCAATCATAAATATAATTTGACACTACAGAATGTGCTTTCCTAGTTACATCTAATCAGAACAGGAGCTGGGATATCATGAGTAATATTTAGCAGCTCTGGGGTGGTGGGAGAACCCACTACAATAAAAGAAATATTAAGAATCATTAGTTTCTCTCATTTGGGTGAGGTTAATATTACACATTCCTTTCAGGCACATAGGTGTCCCTTGGTAAATATTTTTGTTACTTTTATGAGGATGGTTTTTTTTTTCCCCCCTCAAGTATACAAATAAGGTTAGGGTTGTGCTTTAAACAGTACAATATTTTAGAAAAACATTGTCAGTTTCAGGCTTAATTTTAAGTGGTTCACCCTCATTGGAAATTTGAGTTTGTCCACTTGACTGCTCAAAAGGAATGTATTTAATATTTCTGTGATACTAATCATTATAAAGTATCTTCAACTCATTACTGATAGGAATATTAGTAGCATAACCTGTTTGCCTTTTGCTTTCCAGGTATACAAAACTGGGATATGCTGGAAATACAGAACCTCAGTTCATCATTCCTTCATGTAAGTATATGTTTACACGTGCACTAAAGTTCATGGTCTATTTATTTTTAAAATCCGAAAGGTAGAAAGGAGCACATGGCAGAATCATGATGCACAGGGCTGGAAGTATGGACATGAAGGACTAGTTGACAGCTTGTTGACTAGTTGCTCGCCCTCCCCTTTGCTGCCTATATCAGAAAGAGACAGCAAAGGTGTGGGGGGATGGGAAGGAGGGAGTACTTCATTGGCAGCACCGCATGGAGCCTGGGGCCAGACCCTGGGCTCACTGTAGCGCTGCTGCTTTGAAATGCCACTGTGGGAGCCTGGAGGCAGGCTCCTCCCAGCATTTCAAAGCGGCAGCGTCACACAGAGCCTGAGATCAGCTGGGGAGTCCCCGGCTGATCCTAGGCTCCATGCAGCGCTGCTGCTTTAAAATGCTGCAGCGGCATTTCAAAATGGCAGTGCCACAGGGAGCTTGGGGTTAGCAGGCAGTCCCCTGCTGACCCCAGGCACCAAGTGGCACCTTGGCCTTTAAAGTGGTGCCTTTTCAAAGGTGGAAACACCCTATTGACCAGTCAAATAGTGGATGCAGAATTAATCAACTATTCGATTTACCTGCAATTTAACATCGCTAGCTGGAAGTAGAATTTAAGCATTTGTCTTGACCATTAGGGAATTTTCCAGAAGATACACACTCAGTTTATGCAGAACATGACCTTTTTTTTTTTTTTTTTTTTTTTTTTTTTAAATAATACTGCCTTTGAGGTTGAAAGGCTGGCAAAGGACGCTGGCTTTAAAGTTACAGTAGTGCAGGCTAGGCTCCCTTTAATTTTTTTTTCCATCCACATGTGGAATGAATTTTACGTGCAGTACTATATTGAGGTAATTTTGAGATCTGGTAGCCTTTGTGACTTTATCGGATTATGTGGGAAAATCATGGGAAAACTCCATGTGAGGAAAGATTAGCACAGTTTTGATTAAAAAGTGCACAGATAAGAGAGGATTTAATAGATTTACATGAAATAATGGATTAGAGAAGGTAAATTGGGTGCTCCTCTTTATTCTCTCCTAATGCAAGAACAAGATGGCATTCCGTCAAAAAGGAAAGCAACACATTTAAAACGGATGACAGGAAACATGTTTAACATTGTGAGTAACTGACTTGTGGAACTCACTGCCAATAGATATTTCTGTATGCAAGAGTTTATAAGCATCTGTAAAAATCACATGCTTGTATGATCAGGCAATGCTCTACTGAGGGATCCTGCTGCTACTTATGGCAGGTGGGAGACAAGTAATTTGCTTTTTGCAGCTCTCTTCCTCTGCTCTTCCCAGGATTCTAGTGCCCACTCCTTCCTGCTCCTAGCCTTAGTGAAACTACTGACCAATCCTGCACCTCCCTGTCCTTTGTCCCATCTCCATCAGAACCCATGATGAGTGGCTGATTGAAACTCAGCTTATTGCCTGCTCTAAGACTAAACTAAGTACAGTAAATTGAGTGCAAACCAGAGCTCTATAAACCTAAAGATGTAAGTCAGTGCTTGTCTACTCGAGAAAAGGAAAGGACATCTTTACAGACACCCCTTCTCTTAGAGCCAAGAAATACTCTTTCTCCCCCCTCACACACACTCTGCCCAGCATTAGAAAGACGTCCCAAAGAGTGAGAGGAGGTGCCTTTTATAGGTCTGGAAGACAGTGTGTGAACAGGTGTATGGAAAAGTGATTGAGAGGGGTTTGTGGGATAGTGAGAAAACAAGAAAAACAGGATGAGACACAACAAAATACATAGTCAACTGAAGGAAAGGAGGAGGGAAAGAAATATAAATAACAAATGAAACAATACATTACAATATTATTAATATAAAGCTATTTCTACTTATATTTATATTGGTCTGTTGCTTTGGATTCTCATTAACAAAATGTTTCATATCCCATTAGTTTCCTGAAACATCCAGTTGACAAAAAACAACAAAAAAGCTTAATGCAGGAGTAATAATTTGCAATTCTTCCTTCTGAGGCCAGAGTAGGTTTATACATTTGAAATAATTTAGCCACACAGTAACTATTTTGAATCATGTAAATATCATCAGCTCCTTTCAACAAATGGAGAAATAGTACTATTATTTCTCTAATAGTACCTTTATGACACAGTAGTTTGGTACTCAGTGCACGGGATAAGAATAGAGTGCTCAGATAACTTTTCTCAGTTTCTTTAAATGTTACTATTTTTAAAGTTACTTTACATTTCAACTCAATTGTACTAGAGTAAGAAAAACAATGTGTCATTTTCTGTTTTCCAGTTGTGGGAGCAGCAGCAGTTTTTTCAAAGTTGATAAATAATGTAAGCCCCAAAATAAACTACAAGATGTTTATAAGTTGTGTACAGTGCTTCTGAGGGAGCCTGCTTTCCCTCTCCCCGTCAGTCCCAGGTGCCCCAGAGAGAATGAACAGAACAAGTAATACGTCCATCCCCTGTCATCCATTCTCAGCCCTGACAAACAAAGCGTAGGGACAATTTCATTTGTTGACCCCATTTCTTGTATTATGGGAAAGTATAAATAACTTTTTCTTTCCTTACTTTTTTCATATCAATCATGATTTTATAAACCTCTATCATATCCCTCTTGTCTCTTTGCTGAGCTAAAAAGCTTCCAAATCTCTCTTCTTATGACAGCCATTCCATACCTATAATCATTTTTGTTCCCCTTTTCTAAACCTTTTCCAATTCCAGTTTGTTGTTTTTGAGGTGAGGTGCAATCCACATTCAAATACAGTATTCACAATGCAGGCATACTATAGTTTTATATAGAAGCAGTACAGATTTTTCTGTCCCTTATTGATTCCCAGCATTCTTTCCTTTTTTGACTGCTGCTGCACATTGAGTGGATATTTTCAGAGAACCATTCACAGTGACTCCAAGATCTTTCTCTTGAGTGGTAACAGCTATATGTGTACTTGGGATTGTTTTCCAATATGTATTATATTGCATTTATCAACATAGAATTTCAGTATGAACATTGAGTATCAAACAGAAACAGAATAAACAGTAGTGCTTAATTGTTGTTGCAAAGTAAATATTGTGGAGGGTTTGGGCTGTCCTGGGTTTTTTTGGAAACCAAATAATTTGTATGACTCAGCTTAATGCATTTAATATTCCCATTTTTATTCTAGTATAATTGAACTTTCTTTTCTATGTGGGTTTTTAATTCAGAAATATTCATCTCTTTTGTTCAGGATCATTTTTTCTTTTTAATGTTAAATATCATGTGCAGTGTACTGTCTATAATTTTGACTTTTCCTTTATACTTGCATTTGATTATGCCTTGTACATTTCACCAAAAACTTTTAACTAGTAGCCAGTTAATTCACCTACAAATTTCATTTTAAGCGTATCGTGAAAATCACTATTTCTTGACAGGATATTGAGAACAGTATTTAGGAGCTAATGCTCAATTTACAGAAAATGTTACTGAACAAATGTCTTTAACCAAATAAGCCATTTTTCATTATTTTTGCATTATGATATTGAAGCCAGACTTTTCACTTAAGTATGGACATAAATCTATTTACATGGATTAAAATATTTAAAACTTGTATTTGTACACCCCTGGGTAGTCACATGTTTGTTCTATTTATTCATACTTCATATCTTCTTCTTTGCTAGTAATTCTAATATGATTATCATGATCTGCTTTAGACATTAAATATTGGGATGGGAATAGCCTGAGTGATAAGCAGAGAAATTATGTAATGGAAAGGCCATCAAGGAGAGAGTATAATCTCTCTCTCTTTTATTTATATATATATATATAAAAATAAAAAATGTTAATCTTTAAGGAAATAAATAAATTTTAAATATCCATGAGTAAGTTTATAAATCACAAAAATTGCCATCATATATAAAATACTGTGGAAATAGCTGCAGTCTAAATGGGACTTCTATCAAAAGGCTCAGTGTGCAACACTACCATTCGATGAAATTAAGTATTTCCCCATCTGTCCTTTAGGCCAAATTAGATAATTACACTAACTGCATGATCTTAAACTAATCCACTATCCTGAATAAGGTAAAATAGCATTAGTAATCCCCATTAGATAAATGGAAATTGTGGAAAAGCAGTACATGCACACACAATCATTCTGAAATAAGTGAGACTCTCTTTTAAAAACTTATATATTTTTAGTTTCTTTGTCTCCATCTTTGCTATTTGAATTATTTGTTTTCCTTTGACTTTAATCATTGGCTCTTTCATTCTATTTGATTCTTGGGGGAAGGGAATGCTTATTGTTTAACCAGTTGTTTTTCTCGTTCTTGATTTCCAGCTCTCAATATTTTTCTCTCCTGCAGTTCCCTTATATAGATCTTCCTTATAAATTCTAAATATGCCTCAGTTCTGAACAAAAACTTTCTAGAAAAATAAATATGAATTATTAGGCCAATTGCATTGTTCAGAGAAACTGGTATTTTCACAACTTAGTGTTCACTTGTTTTTCTTTCTATGCTGTGTCCCACCTATTTGTTTACTATCCAGCAAACCATTCCTCTCTCTGGCCTTGGATAATTAATGTTTTTATTGTGTGGTATATGTTCAAAATATCACCTTATTTCCCCCACCCCTGAGAAGTCATGGGCAGACTACGGACTGTGGATCACATTCAGGCTGTCAGCCATCTTAATACAGCCCTTGAGCTCTCACTGGGGAATTGGCTTGCCTTGCCTCGGCACTGTAGCTGCAGAATGGGTCAGAGGCTTGCTCCAAGTGGCTCCCATTAGCATCAATGTGTTCCCCCTCTGATATCTACATATAGGGGCGGCCAGTGTGCTTTATGCACTGATCCTGCCCTAAATGCTGTCTCCAGCATCTTTGCATAGGAGCCAGAGAAGGGGGTGTAAGAGTGGACATGCTATGCTGCTGCTGCTTCTGGGAGCTGCTTGAGGTAAGCACCACTCAGAGACTGCACCTCTGAGCCAAACTTCATACCTCAGCCCTGATCTCCCCCCCTTCCACCATTCAAACCCCTTAACCCCAACTCAGAGTATCCTTTTTCAGTGCCCAAGCGGGAGTCCTGATCCCTCTCCTAGCCCAGAAGCCCCTCATCCCCAGTACTACTCGCACCCCACCCCAAGGTGGTGCAGTCACCCTCTCCCACATCCCAGCACAAATTTTGTGAGCATTGATACCCCTCTATACAATTGTCATACCCCAATGAGGTCCTTCAGGCCCAAAAGTTTGCCCGCCCCTACCCCAGAGCAAGCATTCCTATTTTTTTTGGAAGACTCATTCTCTCCTTTTTCCAGTTGCTCCATGAGTGTTTGAGCACAAAAGGCATACAGATACAAACATCTGCCGCCTCTTTCTTCTAAAAGCTATTTTTTCTTGTGCTGAACAAACCAAAGTCAGCCACTCTCTGATATTACTGGAACTGTTTCCATCTTCAAACACCATGGTAACCTAGTTCTTCCACTATCCAGATTTAATATCCAGTTTGTATTGTCACAATAAGTGACGAGGAGTCCTGTGGCACCTTATAGACTAACTGAAGTGTAGGAGCATAAGCTTTCGTGGGCAAAGACCCACTTCGTCAGATGCATGACGAAGTGGGTCTTTGCCCACGAAAGCTTATGCTCCTACACTTCAGTTAGTCTATAAGGTGCCACAGGACTCCTCGTCGCTTTTGCAGATTCAGACTAACACGGCTACCCCTCTGATAATTGTCACAATGTGTTGCTTTTGTGAGTTGCTTCATTTTTTATTTTCAGATACAGCCTAAAATGTAGACTAGTTTCAAATTCAGCAGTAAATATGGAATCATCCTGTTTTAAGTTTGAGCATCAGTAAATCACTTTAAGTAGAGAAGCTCTGGAGGTTTATAGCAGGTGATGATGTCTATCGCAAAACTCTGACATCAGTGCCCCCCCACCATCTCTCTCCCACACCCTGCACAGCAAGCAGGAGGCTCCCAAGGGAGCAGCTCCAAGACCGAGGGCAGGAGCAGCAGGACAGTGGATGGAGGGGCAACTGAAGTGCTACAGTTGATAGCTTCCTGGCTAAACAAGTCAGTATCACCTGTCAAGAGGCTCCAAGATCTACTGGTAGATTGTGATCTACTGGTTGGTGACCACTGCCTTACATTTTAGTGTCTTGTCTGCTCTTAATGTTGATGCACATTGAGCCGATGTTTGTTTTTCACCTGTCTTTCTGGGTACTAAGCAGCTATTAGTTGAATGTGGAGGTAAAATAGTCCTTTGCTAGTTGAGGTGAGTCTTCGACAGATGGAATAAACAGCCATTTTATTGACATGGCTAAAGTATTAACTTTTGCGTTGTGTCCTTGTGGGTGCTCCACTTTAGGTGCTTAAGCACCTCTTGAGCTCTTGATCAGAAATTTTCAGTTAGCCATCTCTGCTTGATCTGGGCATTCACCCTGTGCTGCCTCATATCACACACAGGCTATATACAGTGTGCGGGGTGAGCCACCTCCAGTTCTCTGTCACGTGTCTGACTGAGACTGACCCCTAATATGGCCACCTTGAGTGTGCCTCAGCTTTTTATATTTCTAATAATTCTATATTAAATGCCCACCCTCAGCTTCAGCATCCATGTCTTCAGCATTCCATGGCTTAAATACTAACCCATTATTTGGTATCGTGGGAGTACAGCTATAGTAAGAACCTCTTGCTCATGTGTAAACCAGAATCTCCGCTCCTCATGGTTACTGCGCAGCTCTTGGACTACCTTCCTCCAGTGCCAGAGGACTCTCCACTGAGGGTACTTCTCATTTGGAAGGAGGAAAAAGGCAACTTTGGTTGGTCTCCTTTATTTCTTTCCAGGCTTTTCCAACGTATCCCACGAGGAATCCATTCTCTAGAAGTCATAGGGAGAATTGTGCATATCAGTGGATTTTGGATGCCACCTTATGCCTTCCCTCTCCCTGACTGCCTACTGATAACAATTTACCAGACAATGGGGTACTGTCTTATAAGGAGGAAAGAGTTGTAGAGCCCTCTCTTGCCTAGACTTGAGGAAATGTTTGAGGAGCAGGAGGCTAGGGAAGATAGGGAAGCCACCTCTCAAATTCCTACTTGATTCTTCTCTCTGGGTGAGATGTTATGGTTCCATGGCCATCTTTTTAGTAATTTAATGATCTCAGAAAGTAACTGACTTTTTTTATATTCCTTAGGGTGGGGGTCAAAAATTTACAGCACAAACTGTTGGATATTCTGCAGTCAGCAACACCCCATATTCGTGTTAACCATCATTGAGGTGCTCCTGGATCCAGCTATGCTGCTGTGGCAGACAACCTTTATTCTGCCCAAATTTGAACAGGCAGATAAAAAGTATTGCCCCTAAGAAGTCTGTATTTTTGTTTTCCTACCTCCCCCATCTAATTCTCTCTTTGTTGATATGATAAAAGAGCAGAGTAGACAGTGCCAGAAAAGGCTGGATGCCATTAGGCAGAAGGCTTATTCTTCAGCATGCCTGAACTTCAGGATCATTATAATCAGGCAGACAGGGCCACTTAACATTTTGCAAATTATAACCGGTTCATAGCTTTTGAGTATTTCCTACAAGAACGTAAAATTAATTCCAGTCTGTTGTCTCAGAAGAGTGGTTGGTGGTCATAACTATTCTTTCAGTATCCTTAGATGCTGCACATGTTGCTACCAGTTGCATCTCTATGGCAGTGATTATGTACAAGACATCGTTTTCCTCTCTTGGGGTCTCCAAGAAAAGTATAGAACACCATGGAGGCCCTCTTCAGCAGTTGCAAATTGTTCTTGTAAACCACATATGAGTCCTTGCACATATTAAAGAACTCTAGGCCTACTTTACAATCCCTGAATGCACATACTCCTACTAAGAAAAGGATCCACAGACTACGGAACTCTAGGCCTATTTTACAATCCCTGGGTGCACATACTCCTACTAAGAAAAGGATCCACAGACTACCCAGAGATTGCATCTTCTTCAGTTTCCAGGTCCCATGTTTCAAATACCTCAGAAAGAGACTTACGTTTCATAGAGAAAGGGTCTGCCCAGTAGCCTTCCATAACTAACTGTCCATCTTTAAAGCCACAGTTTTGATGGATTGGTCAAAGGTTTGAAACCTCCAACATCTCTGTTTATAGCTGCACTTACTAGCACTTTGGCCACTGTTTTGCCTATTTCCAACATGCCTGGAGGCAGATTTCTATAGTTAATTAGGTCATAAAGGTCAGGGCATCAACCCCCTCCCTCCCTCCCAATCTTTTCCCTCCCTTCCTCCTCAGTATCCTTTCTGGGTACTGAGCAGCTATTAGTTGAATGTGGAGGTTAAATTGTCCTTTGCTAGTTGGGGCGAGTCTTCGACAGATGGAATAAACAGCCAGTTTATTGACATGGCTAAAATATTAATTTTTGAGTTGACACATTTGCTGTCCCTCATGAGTCACCTTAAGTGGAGCACCCACAGGGACACTACTTGAAGACATTACTCATTCTGTATAGTAATTATGGTTCTTTGAGATGTGTCCCTCTGTGTGCTCTACTATCCACCCTCATTTCCCTCTCCTTTGGGCTGCTCCTTAGAGGAATTTGAGTACAGAAGGAATGGAGAGCAGCTTGCCCACACACTTTATGTAGCATGAGGAGGCTAGGATGTATGCCTAGGCCAAATGGGTGCTAGCTGAAAATCTTTGATCGTGATCTCAAGAGGCACCTATGCTTCTGAAGTAAAGCATCAATAGGGATTTGCATCTCAAAGAGCTGCAGTTACTGCACAAAGTAAGTAATTTCTTCTTCTGCACTGTATGGTTAGCATTGCATCATGTTGACATTTTTGTGTTCATGACTGTGTTGTATTATTCAATACTAATAGTGTTTTATTTTGGGCAGACTTAAAAATCTCATGAAATTGCTCTATGCAGACTGATTGTACTTGCACTAGAGATAAGAATGGTAATGATTTCAAGATGGCAATGTTTTAACGTTAATTCAGAATGTAAATAATTGAAGTATGACAGAAGCTTCAGGAGACATAACCTACAATGTAATTTTTATATTTGTGTTTTATTAAAGGTATTGCAATCAAGGAATCGGCAAAAGTTGTTGACCAAGCACAAAGGAGGGTTATGAAAGGTGTGGATGATTTAGACTTCTTTATTGGGGATGAAGCAATAGAAAAACCAACTTATGCAACAAAGGTATTAAAGGATATTTCTTTTCTATAAATGTAATAGTTGTAAAGTCCACTGTAAATGGTTTCTGGTCAATCTTAAACTGTAAAGAATCATTTTGAAAGAAAATGGTGTTAAAATTTGTTTTAATGTTCAGCAAGTTATGGTAACTTTTTCTTCATTTGGAGATAAGTACACTAATTTCTGTTTTGAATTACCAACTGTGGCACTCTCCAGTATTAACTGTCTATTCTTCTTCAGGTAATGTCCTCATAGGTGCTCCACTGTTGGTGACAGGTCATTCCTGGAACTGCAATTGGGAACTTTTTCTTAGCAGTTGTCAGTCAGGTGGTGCATGCACGAAAGGCACCTCGCCATTGGTGGTTTGATGCCTCTTGCATTGAGCCTGGCCCCTCCCCACTTCAGCTCCTTTCTTACCACGCTTTCTCACGGATGGAGCTCCTATCTCGCCTCAGGTGTCTATTCTCTTCATGCAGATTTTCAGTTTTTATTCCTGCCTTTTTATCACTTTAGTGTTATTAGCTAGTTATCCATTGTCTGTTCATCATGCTAAAAAAAAGGGAAGCTATATACTGGGCTCTCTGGGGTTTAAAAAGTGTCAACAATGCAATGTCCCCATGCCTGCTTCTGTTGTGCATAATTTGTGTATCTATTGCTTGGGGGTGTCACGCCCCCCAAAAATGCGACCTCAGCAAGGGCCTCACAGCAGAGGCCAGGAAAGAAGGGGAATTTCAGGTCTGTACGATACCCTTTGAAAAGGCGCTACAGCCTACGGCGGAGCTGCTTCCCATTCTACCCACGGGAGATCTGCCTAAGAAGAGGTCTGCTTCTCCCTCACCTCATAAATATTAGAAAAGAAAGGTCTCCCCTGTGAGGTTGCTGCCCCATAACCTGTCCCCAGCCTGAGTAGGGGAGACAAGCCCAGCACCTCAGGTAATGCGGTGCTGAGATCCTTAGCAGGCACCACGGCTGCAGTGCGCTGCACTAACCCAGGGCTGATATGCTCATCGTCAGTGCTGGAGAGATCATGCTGGCAAACCCTGGCACCGCTGCAAGCGGCGCCTCAAGACCTGGCGCTGAGAGAGTGTGGAACTCGCTGCTAAGTGGCTCCGCAAATCTTCAGCACTGCTTCTCAGCGTGCTGACGTTAGTACAGGTGCCTCCTCCCTCAGAGGCTACAGCACAAGCACCACAGTCAGAGCATGCTGGCCACGCTGAAGTAGCCAGAACCACTCATGCCTTAACACCACCTGAAATTAATGACAGACACTTCCCTTCCCTTCCCTTAGGGAACCTTCTCTTGTGCCGTTTTCGCCTTGCACATCTCCAGGCTATATTTGATCTCCATTGTTACATGAACGCTTCAGACTTGCTGAATACCGTCAGAGGAGTGTTTTCTCGTCTGTATACTCCTCTCCTACTACATCTCACAAACATCATCATTACCATGAAAGATCTTACCACCCACCATGGTACCCTGCATGGCAGAACCCTCCTCCCCATTACCCACTCGTTGGGTTCAATGGGAGAACTGGCGACCTTGTAGACGCCGCTCCACAGCCCCATCTACTTTGCCAAGGAGGCTCCCACCAATCTGCCCATTCCATTCCCTCCTGACTACTGTAGAGTTAGAAGTGGTGGAGGGTCAAATTCCAGCTGAGCACATCGACATGCAAGCCCTACAGGATTCTCCTAGGGACAATTCCTCTTCATCTCCTGATGAAGCCATAGTTCTGGATGACATGCACACCACCAAAGTCTTGAAGCAATTTCAAGAACTTTTTTAAGAGTGGCCACCAGCCAGGAAGTTCAGCTTCTAGTGGTAAAGGAGAAACAGCATCATCTCCTAAAGAACATCTGTCCCTCCTCTCAAGGAAGGATTGCACTACCAATTGATGGAGCCATCATGAAGGTATCTGATAACATCTGGCAGACACCCGCCTCCATCCAGCCAACCTGCAAAAAAGCAGACAGGAAGTACTTTGTCCTTCTCAAGGACTTAGACTTCCTTTTTTCCCATCCCCAACCAAATTCACTGGTAGTGGTGGATGCAGCAAATCATCACTTGAAAGCCCCTCAGTTTAAATCTGCACCCAACAACAAAGAAACACAGAAAATATACTCTTGCCACACTACAACTCAGAATAGCGAACTACTCCGCACTCCTAGCTAACCATGATTTTTGACAACTACTCTAAACTGGCTGAACTTATGGGAACACCTTCTGGACTCCAAAAAGCCCATTTTCAGGGCAGTCATCCATAAGGGGAATACTATCGCCTGTTCTGCAGTACTGTCAGCAATAGAGGTGGCCAACACAGCAGCAAACGACTCTGCCAGCTGTTGTGATAAGGAGAGCCTCCTGGCTGCATGCAGTAGGGGTGCCTAGGGAGCTTGAAACCAAGGTGGAGGATCTCCCTTTTCACAAACAAAAGCTATTTGCGACTGACACAGTTGAGAGGCTACATAATAATGACTGTCGAACCACTCTTCGTACCCTAAGCATGTACACACCACCGTACTACCAAATGCAACACTCCATACAACAGAAATAAGGACACCTATTACAATTTCGCTCAACACAAGCATTGTGATTATAATCAGTCCAGAAAGTGGCCTCAGGAGGTGCTCACCTCAGTCATGCTCTTCCAGCTCCCAGGCTTCCAAACAGCAAATATGAAGTTTTTGGTCGAGGGTCTACCCGACCATCCAGTGCTAATAAGCGAGAAACGTGTTTTCCCACAGGCTACGTCTCTGCTTCCACCATTGGGACTCCATTACATCAGACCAGTCGGTGCTAGAAATCATCCATACAGGACACACTATCTCCTTCACCTCACTCCCCCCCCCGATTCCCTATCCCTCTTCATGAAGCCCTCTCGAGATCCCTCTCAGGCAAGAAATTGATCGGCTCCTCCAACTAGGAGCATTAGAGATGGTCCCCAATCTGTTCAAGGGAAGAGGGTTTTATTCAATTTACTTCCTGACTCAAAAGTGCACAGAGGGTTGGAGACTATTTGGAGATTTCTTAAGGAACTCTAGAATCTCTAACTTCTTCACAGAGCCCAGCACCCTCATGGAACCTAAACATGGTTTTAGACTGCCTTATGAGACACCCCCCCTCCCCCCCACGCACACACACTTTGAACCCATGGCCACCTGTCCACTCCTGCTGCTTAATACGAAGGTGCTGTTTTTAGTGGCCATTACCTCTACGAGGAGGGTTAGTGAGATAGGGGCCTTGATGGTACGCCCGCCTTAGATATTTGCCAAGGCGAAAGTCACCTTACAGCTGCATCCTTAATTTCTACCCAAAGCCAGTATTTCCTTTAATATCAATAAGCCCATAGTCCTACCTATGGTTTTTCCTGAAATCCCATGCATCCCCCAAAGACGCCATGCTGCACACTGTGGACATTCAAAGGGCTCTAGCATTTTATATAGACAGGACACAGACATTCTGCAAGTCCTTGTTCCTCTTTGTATCCATTGCAAACCTTTCGAAGGGCATGCTAATTTCAGCACAACGTATCTCCAAACTGATGATATTCTGTATACTGCTATGACACTCTCTTCGCAATAAGCCCTTGACAGTTCCATTGAGAACACGCTCCACCCGTGCAACAGCAACATTTATGGTTTTCCTAAACAGCGTGTCCCTTAAAGACGACATACCGGACAGCCACTTGGTCATCTGACTCTGCCTTTGCCAGACATTACGCTATCTTGCCTCAACTAGCAGCCGATACAGCAGTGGGTACAGTGGTACTATCCTCTGCTGCTAAGCAGTAACTCCAAATCCCACCATCCATGTTGGGTTCTACTTTGTAGTCACCAACAGTGGAGCACCCACGGGGACATCACCAGAAGAAGAAAGGGAAATTACCTTGTGCAGTAATGACTGTTCTTCGAGGTGTGTCCCCCTGTGGGTGCTCCATGATCCTCCCTTCTTCACCTCCTACTCAGTTGTAGTTACTTGGGTGCAGATGAGGAACTGAAGGGGGGAGGAGGGAGAGCGCGCAGGCTGTGCCCATGAGGCATCAAACTGCTAGTGGCGCGAGCTGTGCATTCACGGCCCAACTGACAGCTGCTAAGAAAAAGCTCCGAACTGCTGCTCTGGGGATGACCTGTCACCAACAGTGGAGCAGCCACGAGGAGACACACCTCAAAGAACAGTTGTTACTGCACAGGGTGAGTAACTTCCCTTTTTTCAACGTTGATGAGCGCTTATAAAGACTTCAGAATTTGAAATTATTAATCATAATGAGGTAGGAAGAATTTATAGCACATTTTAGTGACTTTTTTCCTTCTGTTACTAACAATCAGACTTTTTATTTTAAACTTTCTAAATATGTACTGATGCTTCTTTTCTAACAGTGGCCTATCCGCCATGGTATAGTTGAAGACTGGGACTTAATGGAGCGGTTTATGGAGCAAGTTATCTTTAAATATCTAAGAGCAGAACCAGAAGATCATTACTTTCTTTTGGTGAGTACAAATTACCTCCTGTTTACGAAAGGATAGTGTGATTTGTGTGTTAATACACAAAAGCCTTTAGTAAATAAACCCTTAAGGTCTTTCATGTATATACAGGAAGTTTTAGGTCATATGCATTGGCTAAAACCACGCTGGTCTGGTTGCTTCTGTCAGTGGCTTTACTTTTTTAAGAGCTTTAAAAGCAAAGGAGTGTCTGATCTACATAGTCCTGTTCTTCCTTTTTCTGTTGCCCCAAACTTTCTCTGTTGCAACAGCTCACCACTGCAGTGAATAGTGATGTCATGGAAACTACATTTTAGGTAAGCATTTCTTCAGTGATGCAGTAGCAGTTTGTGCACTTTGTGTTAATAGCAGTTGTATAACAGAATAATTATTTGGATGCAGTTCCTAGAAAATGTCATTTATTTTGCCACAGGTTTTACTGTGCTCATGGAAACGTGCAGTGTAAATCAGTTCAGTGGGATTTGTTTTGCATCTTTGAGTAGTTTGTTATTTTTTATTGCCTGGATTTGGGGCAAGGTTTGAGTCTCCTTAATTCTTTACAACAGTTGCTCAAAGCTTCTTTCTTGGAATACTGAATTTGTCACCCAATTTAGTTACAATTAAGTTGTAAAGTTGTTCACATCTTGTCTTTTAAAAAACTTTTCAAAATGTACACATATAGAAGTTGAAAACATGGCTTTGGTATCGTATCCAGAGTTTGTTCCATGGATATAGAGGCTGAATCTGCACCTAGCCAACAAGTAGAATCTCACTGTAATCAAAATGCAGGACAATGTAGCACTTTAAAGACTAACAAGATGGTTTATTAGATGATGAGCTTTCGTGGGCCAGACCCACTTCCTCAGATCAAATAGTGGAAGAAAGTAGTCACAACCATATATACCAAAGGATACAATTAAAAAAAATGAACAAATATGAAAAGGACAAATCACATTGCAGAACAGAAGGAGGATGCGGGGGGGTGGGAAGGGGGAGGAAGGAAGGTAAGTGTCTGTGAATTGATGATATTAGAGGTAGGGAGAGTGGGAGTGCAACTATAATAAAGGTTGCAGAATGAGATCTATGTTCCTCCTCTTCTTGAATTGTAGCATGTTCAAATATTGCTCACTATTACCACATTCAGAATGTACTCTTTCAAAAACAGGTAGAACTATGGTTTATGTTAAGTCCAGGTTTACTGTAGTAGCACATAACATGTATTCTGACCCAGTCACTCATTAATATAATTCATTCAGATGGCAAAATACTTTTTTCCTGATATTGCCTTTGAGAGGCAAATACAGCATTCAAGTTCAGTTAGATGAATGAGTGAGGGAAAAATAAGGCTTTTTCTAATTGGGGATATTCAACTAATTGGAATATATTACTATTCCCTCCCTTGCTTTTTGGCTGTTAGTGTTATAGTCTGTCAGTGATACAGTGTTACAGTGAAATAACTGTCTATGATAAGAGGAAAGCACAATATATGCTGGGAAGTTTGTAGCTATAATTAAGTTTACTGTCACTTTGTGTTCCTGCATTTTCACACAAATGGGACATCCCTATGGTGCAGTTTGTATTAGCCTTCTAGCCTTCATGGAATTTGACATTTTACTAAATAAAATAGTTTGCTGATAGCTTTCTAAAGCACAGTGTGAATTCCTACTATTTGTATACTTTGGGTGAATAAGTTTGTAACCTGGAACCTTTTCTTGGTGTGTTTTAAAATTTGAATACATGCAAGTACTGGATATTAATTGTTTTTAAAAATCACTTCTGTCACACAGACTGAGCCGCCACTAAATACTCCAGAAAATAGGGAATATACTGCTGAGATAATGTTTGAGTCCTTCAATGTTCCAGGGCTGTACATTGCTGTTCAGGTGAGAATGCAACTGTTAAGTGGAGGGGCAAAGGGAAGGAACGATTACCAATTGAGAAAATGATGCATAATTCTAACGTTTTTAGGATTACTTGGGTATTCATATTTGGGTCACAGGTTTTCATGAGCTGACTGGCTCAAATCCAGACCAGTGGAAAAAAGATTCTTAATACCATCTGGCTGCTAGCTATTTTTTAAAAAATTGAATTGGTAATTTTGAGTCAATTCATGAAGGACAGGTATCACATGACAAAACACATAAGAGGCAATAGGACAAGAATAGAATAGCCATTAACAGGAAGTTGTATTTCACGTCTAGAAGTAGTCCTTTGGATGGAGTAAAAGCAGAACTTGAACTGCTGCACTTCTGTGGCTAGAAAACATAAGGGACAGGAATGATTAAGATGTCATTTTTTTTTGCACACTGTTTTATATAGATATTCCACTACTTCATTATTGTTGTTTTTTCAATCCATAAATTGGATTAATACTCATAAATTAGTGAGTTATAAATCTCTCTGAATAACTATCAGCATGGAACTTGAGCTTTAGTAAACAATTTTATTTTTGGAAAGAACTTATTTGGTTCTTTAGGAGTTTTTGTTTCAGAGTACGATAGTTTGTTTGGGGGGGAAATAAAATATATTCAAATATTGAGGGATTCAGTTTTTTTCATTCAGTTGTGTTTCAATAGATTTTGCTCACTTTGGCTTGTTTGAATCTTCATTCAAAGAGTATAAAATATCACCTGTAGAGGCAACTTGCTATAGGCTTTATGCATCAATGTAAAACTAAAGATTCAAATTCTGGTTTCTCTTTTGGAAGGCTGTCCTTGCCTTAGCTGCATCTTGGACATCGAGACAGGTAGGAGAACGGACCTTGACTGGCACAGTTATAGACAGTGGAGATGGTGTTACTCATTGCATTCCTGTGGTAAGTATAACATATCAAAGCCTTATAATGTAACATGTCATCACACATTGTAACTTTGCTAAAGTGAACATTGATATGGAAGGAGGTAGCTTTTGTTGTAGATAAAGCATGACTAAGAGTTAGCAGGAATCCTCAAATGACCTTGGCAACCCACCTATGATCCTGTTGTGCTAAGGTGCAGAGAACAGCAGAGCATTCTGTTTCCATATTAAAAGTCAGTGTTAGTGCAGTGTTCTTGAAAGCTCACGGAACTTGATCGTTAATCTGAGTCAGTTTTGCCATCTGTAGAATAGAATACAAGTATTATTACTTTATATTCCATATTAGAAGGAATACCCAGCATTGCCCTGGGTGCTTCAGGGCAGGTGGCTGGTGGTGTGGGCAGGTGCAGGAGTTAAGGCAAGGCCTGGAACCTGTTGGGGGGGCTCAAGACAGAAGACCCGTGGCTTGGTGGGGTGCAGGAGGGCCCAAGATGAGAGCTCCAGATGGCCACACCCTTGGTAGTACGGCTGCCTGCAGTGGTCACTTGTCAGAATAAAACTCCCCTGCGCTTGCTGCCCACAGTAGTGACTGAGTATTGCATCCCTTCTCTCTCTGCTACCTCTGTTTCCATGTTCCATTCTCTGTGCTTCCTATTTTCCTGGCACAACTGAACCTGGATCTTGCTTTTAGAAGAATAGGAAACTGCATGCTAAATGGTGGTCCTAGAGCTTACTGTTAAGGAGGAGTTCTTGAACAAAGACTCTCAGACAGGTGCACATTTCTGAAATATAGATAAAGGTCCGAGCTTTTAGTTACCCAAATAGTTGAATGGAAAAAAAATTACAATTCTAGTGTACTATCATTCAGCAAAGATCATACAGGTAGGAAAATCTTATATGACTCTAATAATTAAAATGGTTAACAGACTTGACCATATATAAGGCCTTAAAAATAAAACACATGATCATTTGTTTTATAACTAATTAGTGCAGGGATGGCCAAAAAGGCCTTCACCTGCTGGATCCCGACCCGCAGAGGTCCTGCTGCTCCCCCACCTGCAGGCCGATCGGGGAGCATGTGGTGCTTAGTCAACCACCAGGGTCGATCTAAGCGCTGCATGCCAGAGGGCAGGGTGCAAGAGACTTCGTGTTCCCCCGCCCCAAAGCCAAATCAGGTCGTGGGGGTAGGGGAAAGGATGAAAAGTCGACTCCCACCCTGCCCTGCAAGGAGAACGCGGCACTTAGAAGCACCACGTGCTCCTTGTGGGATGAGGGCAATGCAGGAGGAGACTTTCTGTGCGTTTTCTTTGTCCCCAAACCCTGATTGGCTTGGGGGCAGAGGAGCATGCAAAGTCTCCATCCGCCATGCAAGTGGCTTGGCACTTAGTGAGCCACTGGCGGGTGACTCTAAGCACAGTGCTCCGTTGCAGGGTAGGGGCAGATTTTGCATGCTTCACCCACCCTGCACCAGGCCCTGAGTGACTTGGGGGGAGTGCACAAAGTCTCCTCCCACCGCCAGGGGCACGGGCACCTAGAAGGAACTGCCAGCTGTTGAGAATAACTGGCAGTTCTCTCGGGTGGGGCGGGAGCAAAGACTTCATGTGCTTTCCCCTGACCACAGTCGGGTCTGTGGGTGGGAAAGCATGGAAGTGTCCTGGCCCCATCCCTTCTGGGGCAGCCCAAAATTTCTCAAGTGGCCCCCAGGCAAAAATTATTGCCCACTCCTGAATTAGTGTATTGTTTACTGTTTTATTAAATGTCAAAAGTATTATGTATTGCTGTAGGCAAACAACACCATTTGTAGAACTGCACACTGAAAGTTTTGTAAGTGGAGTATGTAATGCTTTCTTCCCCAGATGAATGGAAATACATCTGTTTGCATAGCTGGTGTATTTTTGTTTTGTTTTTAAAAGAGAAACTGGGTATCTGGCATTTGTAGGATCACTTTTTTTGTTCCACAGTCTTACAAAATGATGAACTATGTAAATGAGCTTACTAATTGTGAATGATAATTTGCTTGAAGATTCAATATGTTGGAAAGTTACGTTGGTTATGATCTAAACACATGCTTTTTAGCTTTTTCTCAGCTTAATGAATAATGCAATGTAAAAATTTCGGGTTAGACTGTTCATTAGAGGTGGCATTTTTCTACTGAGGCTAATAAAATCACTGAAATTTCAACTCATGTAAATTAGGTTGGTTTTATTATGCTTAATGGGTTTTAAATGGTTATTAAAATATAGCAGACATTTTTTATTTTAACTGAAATGAATAAATTGTGCATTATTTTTTGTATCACTAGGACGGTTAATTGCTTTGTAAATATAACCTCCCCTGTTTCCAGCAGCTTTCAGCATGAATCAACTGAAGCAAACCCAAGATGTAGGCTTGGTTAGTCAGCTGACTATATATTGGGTTATTGTCAAGTTTTCCATCAAAACTGCCTGTGGCCGGGTCCCTAGAGGCTGAGTAGTCTAATGACTACATCGCTGAGTGGGTGAGCAGATGAGGGGGAGGCTGGCCTCTTGTCTTTCTGTGTTCCTGGCCCAGGTACTCCGAACTACTCCCTATTCCAGTCCTTAAGACTGCGTCCCAAGAGTCCACATTCCCTTTAGGTGGAGTTTCTAAATGGGTTTGCCCCTTCATGCCTTCCATACTGTGAGGTAATGCAATAGAGAAGTACTAAAAATAGAAGCAGATTAAAATGTAATCTTTAGAATGGGACAGAACATTCATTTTGACTGTTTTTAGTTTAAAAAAAAAGATGCATTTTAAGTGTGGGTGTATATAGGGAGTCTTAAACATTTGTCATAAAATATGTTTGACTTGTTCATTGTTAAATATTACATATCAAATGTGTGCATAATTTTCACTTGATTATGGTTCATTGTATGGTACTATTTTATATTTCCAGCTATTAAATGCTGACTCACTTGAATTTTATGCAGTATGATTTACGGTAATACCATTAAAGCTAAGTGGAGCTGGATTTCCTAGCATTCCAAAACATATATGTACTTAACCAGTTACAACTTGCAAAATGTTGTAGCTCATTCTTAAAATTTCAGAGATGATGCAGAATATAGAATTGATATTTCAAATAATCTTTTAAATGCTGTAAAGAGTACTGCATATGATATGCAAACAGTATATCTGCTCTTAGATTCTGTTCGTCCTTTTTAAAATTTGAGGAGTGTAATCTGTAAAAATGATAGAATTAAATACCTGCCTCCCCTTTCCATCTCTAGAAGTAGGAATAGAGAAGGTGGATTGTAAACAGGATGAGGTTTAATAAAGAGAAATGCAAAGTGCTCCACTTAGGAAGGAACAATCAGTTCCATACATACAAGATGGGAAGCGACTGTCTAGGAAGGAGCATGGCGGAAAGGGATCTAGGGGGCATAGTGGACCACAAGTTGAATATGAGTCAACAGTGTGATGCTGTTGCAAAAAAAGCAAATATGATTCTAGGTTGTATCAACAGGTGTGTTGTAAGCAAAACTCGTGAAGTCATTCTGCCGCTCTGCTCTGCACTAGTTAGGCCTCAGCTGGAGTACTGTGTCCAGTTCTGGGCGCCACATTTCAAGAAAGATATGGAGAAATTGGAAAGGGTACAGAGAAGAGCGACAAGAATGATTAAAGGTCTAGAGAACATGTCCTATGAAGCCAGGCTTCATGAACTGGGCTTGTTTAGTTTGGAAAAAAGAAGATTAAGGGGGGACATGATAGTGGTTTTCAAATATCTAAAAGGGTGTCACAAGGAGGAAGGCGAAAATTTGTTCCTCTTGGTTTCTGAGGACAGGACAAGGAGTAATGGGCTTAAAGTGCAGCAGGGGAGGTTTAGATTGGACATTAGGAAAAAATTCCTAACTGTCAGGGTGGTCAAATATTGGAATAAATTGCCAAGGGAGGTGGTGGAATCTCCCTCTCTGGAGATATTTAAGAACAGGTTAGATAGACATCTGTCAGGGATGGTGTAGACGGAGCTTGATCCTGCCTTGAGGGCGGGGGGCTGGACTCGATGACCTCTCGAGGTCCCTTCCAGTCCTATTATTCTATGATTCTATGATTCTATGAAAATGACAGATCAATGTGATGTGCTGAATGCCATTTTGATCACTTTGCTGGACTAGTTTCCTTCCTACCTTCAGTTTTGCCTGGGTAGAATGTAAATACTAGCATATCTGAGCCTATACCTTTTCAGTCCTATTGAACAGTAATGTGTGTGAGAATACCTCCCTCATTCAGTGGCATTTGTTGTATCTGACTAAAGGAGCAAATAGAGGGCACAAAATGATGGCTGTTGTTAGTTGAAGTTCTGACAGAATGGACCTGTCGGGTCTTGGTTGCTTGAAGAATAGTAACCAAATGCAGGGGCTCAGAAATGGAGAATAAAGAGCTATGAATAATAGGAAGGACTTCAGAGCTCTATCAGAGTTACAAGATCATGAGAGGGATTGTGTGTAACTCCAATGAATCTGAATTCTGTTAGAAAAGGATCCAGTTAGTAAGGCTCTGAATATGCATATTCAGCATCTTAACTCAGTATGCTTCAATAGATTACTGTTTTTTTTTAAGTTGATGGAATGTGTTTCTTTCTCCTTCTCCAAATTAATGTTACTTCCAGGCTGAAGGCTATGTGATTGGAAGCTGTATCAAACATATTCCAATTGCAGGACGAGATATAACATACTTCATTCAGCAACTGCTGAGAGAACGAGAAGTAGGAATTCCTCCTGAGCAATCCTTGGAAACAGCAAAAGCTGTGAAGGTAAAATGGAAATTAATGGATGGCAGTTATACCATAGTGTAAATGTATTTGAAGAAAATCATAAAAATGCCCCCTTTCCTAATGCTACTCTCTTTCTAGATGAGAATATAAGCATTGTTATTTAAATATCTAACATGATATTGTCAGTCTAGAGCCATCTTTTCCCCAACTCGTAACTACTGTAATACTTAACTGGAAGTACTTCTGCTGCGATCTTTAAAATGAAATGATATTCATTTTTTTTCTTATTCACACAATGAACAGTCAACCCATGGAACTCATTGCCACAGGATATTCTGCAGGCAAAATTAGTTTTATTCATAGAGGATTGGTTCATCAATGGTTATTAGCCAAGATGATCAGAGATGTGACCCCATGTTCTGGGTGTCCCTAAATATCTGACTGCCAGATGCTGAGACACGAAGACGGAGGATGGGTCGCCTGATCATTCCTCTAAGCACCTGGCACTGGTTGCTGTTGAAAGACAAGATATTGGACTAGATGGACCATTGGTTTGAGCCAGTATGTCCTTTCTTATGTCTTCATGGGGTTTTTTTTAACCAGTGAAATTAGTGAGAGCTAGAAACTCCACGGTGATGCTCTGAGGGGAGGGAGCAGATGGAGCCGTGTGGCCTTTCCTCCCTTCCCCACGCGTGCTCTGGGAGGGCCCCAGCCGGGAGCTGCATGGCTTTTCTCCTTCTCCAGTGCTCTGGTGGGGGCAGGAGAAGCAAAGCCACAACCCACAAGGCCTTTTCTCCTCCTTGTAGGTGGCAGAAGCTTTGAGCTGTGCTGCCTCTCCCCTTTCTTCCTCTCTCCCTGATGCCCCAAGCGTCCTCCTTTTTTTTCCAGTGATGCAAGGGGACAGAATTGTTCTCCCCACACCCCAGCCTCCTCTCAACCTTCTAGATTGGGGGTAGAGCTGGGCCAGTCTTGTGCCCCAGACCCTGTCCCTGGCAGCTGGGGGGAGGAAAGAGCTAGGGCTGGTTGGTGGGGGAAAGGGCCAGCGAAGGCAAGAGCAGGGGCGGATGGGGGGAAGATCCAGGGCTGAGATGGTCTCGGACCCTCCCTGGGGTGGGAAAGAGCCTTGGCCTGGCACACACCCCTAGAGGCTGGGAGGGGTAGAGCTGGGACTGGCCTGGGGAGGGGGAGAGCCCAGACTGCCTTCCTCCTCTCCCCCCTGTCCCCCTCTCCAGGGGAGGATTGTAGAGCAGAGCAAGCAGGTGGCACTGCCACCTAGTAGATTCAAAAAGAAATATTTAAGTTCATGGTGGACCAGGGGGAGGGGATAGCTCAGTAGTTTGAGCATTGGCCTGCTAAACCCAGGGTTCTGAGTTCAATCCTTGCAGAGGCCATTTAGGGATTTGGGGCAAAAATTTGTCAGGGATGGTACTTGGTCCTGTTGTGAAGGCAGGGGACTAGACTCAATGACCTTTCAGGGTCCCTTCCAGTTCTAGGAGATAGACAAACCAGTCAATCAATAGTAGTTAGCCAAGACAGTCAGGGTTTCAATCCCATGTTCTTACTGCCTCATAGACTCTGAAAATGGGACTGGATGAAAGGGAATGCTCACACAATAACTGTCCTCTGAAGTTTCTAGCATTTGGTCACAGTCAGAAGTCCGTATACTAATCTAGTATGGCTATTCTTATAGTCTTCTGATTTCTTCTGTGTATGTTGTTGCTTTTTCCCCACTGCAGTACAAATCTATACCTGGTCCACTGAAGGTTGTTCATCCGTTAAGTACATTATACATTTAATACTCATTTTTCATTATCATAGAATTTTAGAGGAAAAATGGAATCAAAACCAACTTGACAAGTCAAAGTATGCTACTTGTTTCCAGTGATGCATAGACGTGGTTTATTGGAGCCAAGTTTATTATCTAATTTTACATAATGTCACTTAAACCCTCTCTTGTACTCTACTTTGTATCTATCTGCTAGTTTCAAACTTTTATCATGAGCCTGAACCATTTTTCCCCCCAAGAGCTTTATTTGTACTAGAGATGTTAAAATGTGGTTAATTGAGTAGTTGATGGAATTTTCATTGGCTACTTGACTAGTTGATAGGCAATTCTGCATTCCTCCTTTTAAATGTGGAACTCCGTGTACAGCCCAGAGCCAGCAGGAAGTCCTGCTGACTCGGGGCTGCATGAGGGTGCCTGCTTTCAAATGTACAAGAATCCCCAACAGGAGGGAGCTCTTGTGCCTTTCAAAGCTATGGAGTCGGGGGTCACTGGGGGACTTGCTCTCCCACTGACCCCAGGCTCCATGCTGTACTGCATGCTGTGTGGAGCCTAGGGTCAGCTGAGGATTCCCCAGCTGATTCCGGGTTCCACACAGCATTTCAGTGGAACCCGGAGTCATCTGGGAACTCCCCAGCTGCCCTCGGGTTCTGGAGAAATGCCGCGTGGAGCCAGAGATCAGCTGGGGAGTCCCCAGCTGCCCCTGGGCTCCACAGCTGCCCCTTCGAAATGCGTGGAAACTCAGTTGTGCACTGCTGCCACTTTTGAAGTACCCCTTCTCCCCCCACCGCCCTTTTGCTACCTCTGTTTTTTTTTAAGAGGCAGCAAAGGAGGGGAATTGACTAATCGACAGAATATCCAATGAGCAAATGTTTATTGGATAGTCGACTAGTCTTTAACATCCCTAATTTGTGCTATATTTAGTTGGGTTCAAATGGCTCGATATTGTAAAACATAAAATTTTTTTCTATGTTGAGGAAGATTTCTACAAATCTGTATATTTAATTTTCAGGAGCGCTTTAGTTATGTCTGTCCTGATTTAGTAAAAGAATTCAACAAGTATGACACAGATGGTACAAAATGGATTAAACAGTATACTGGAATCAATGCAATCTCAAAGAAAGAATTCACCATTGATGTTGGCTATGAGAGATTCTTGGGTCCAGAGATCTTCTTTCATCCTGAAGTAAGTTGGTGTGAATTACTATGGTCCTCAGGTTTTTTTTTCAATTCAAGCTGTATAACTGCAGTTTAGATTTTAGTATACCAAATGTATTTAAATGTATTTGAAAACATCTATCTCAATTTACATTTTGAAGTAGATAATAGATGTTATAAAAAGCAAGAGAGTTTTACTTCCTGATACTGGTTAAACTTTGAAGTGTACAAATTGAGATGCTTGAGCATTCAAACAGAGTACCGTCCTAGAACATTTTAAACAATCCGATTGTTAATATAGGTTATTGTTCCTCTCTTCTTGCCAAGCATTTAGCTTTTAAAATTAAATTTCTTCTTACCCATCATATATTAGTCATTTAAAATACCAGTTTTCAGAGAATTAGAATTTCTCATTCCCACTTCCAATTTTGTGCTACTAGCCTTGTTTTCAGGGTCATTTTAGAAAAAGCTGATAGGAATTGTTCAAGATACAAAAGCAGTACAAGAGAACAGTTGGGGAAATCACCAAAACCAACATAATTCAATCACTTCTTTCATTTCTTTTTACCCTCTTACTAAATTGCTATTAAAATAAATACTCCTTTTGTTTGTTTTGAATATTAGTTAATGGCTGCACATGTAGTGCATTTGACATGGCCATTTTCCATTTGAATGTGCTGGGAATGGGGGTGAACCCTCAGTACGCCCACATGTATTAGCACTGCTTTTTTAATTAAGTACATGTGTGGGATTAATCCTGTAATAGGGACAGGAAAATTCATGTTGCTCTAAAGTACTCTGGTTCCATACTACTAATGAGCTTTTTTTCTCTTAAGTCTAATTGAGTTCTTCTTTTCTCACTTTCTTGCAATCCCCTGTGTAACTGCATGCATTTAGTAGGTCAAGAACAGTAGTTTTACTTCAATAGTCAGAATTATTGCTGTTTCACATTGGGCTTTGATTCTTGTTCTTAGAATTAAAATTGCAAGATTTTTAAGTATGTTGGATTAAAATTGTGGTGTTTAGCTATCTAATAGCTGTTGGTTTTTATATCCAATTTGACTTCTGATTTTAGTTTGCTAATCCAGACTTCACGCAACCCATTTCAGAAGTAGTAGATGAAGTTATTCAGAATTGTCCTATTGATGTTAGACGTCCGCTGTATAAGGTCAGTAACGGTGAAGTTATTTTAAAGTTAGCAGATTGACCCAGCACTGCCCAGGTCTGGCCTGGGATGGGGGCTGGAGGGGCAGCTCGGCCCAGAGACATGAGTGGGGACCAGGCCTGGGGCCATGCAGGCCTCTCTCATTGGTGCTCCCTGAGGCCAAGGGGTGGTGGGTGAAGGACCATGCTGGGCTTCCCAGTGGTGCAGGCAGGGATGGGGGGAGGAGGAGGAGGCGCTAGTTCCTCCTCTGGCCCCAGTGATACTTGCGGGGTGGGAGATCACAGCAGGTGGTCCTGGAATGGGGGGGTCAGGGTTTTAGACAGTCACTTACCTAGTGGCAGGCAAAATGTCCAAGCCCCATGTCCAGCTGGCCACTCTGTCTGTGGTGTAGCTGTCCCCAGTGGCCACTTAAAAGGATAGCTCTCCCTTGCAGTCACTGCCACCAGTGGTGATTGTGAGTATCGCGTCCCTCTTCTGCCCCTTCCTTTTTCATATTCTGGAAAACAGCCAGTTCCCCTAAACCCTGACCTTTAAGTTTGGGGAAGAGGAAGACAGACAGACACCATATGTACATGTACTTTTTTTTGTATTGAAATAGTTGTGATAAACTTGTTGCTAGTTTCTGATTAAAAGCACCTGCACTAGCATGGGGCTATCACACAGAAGATCACAGTGAAGACATTTTCACTTAGAACCTTAGTTAAAACCAAAGTTGCAGTTTGAACATTTTAATCTTTTTTAATTTTTCAGGGCTGTAATACTGTTACAGCGAAGGCAAAAAAAGGGGTAAAAATGGAAGGAGGAAAAAAGATGTGGGAACAAAAATGATACAGATTAAAGGGAATTCTAAAACTTAGTTTAAAAAAATTCCTTTCATCAGAGAAACACCCCAGTTTGTGTGGTACTTTAACAGTTAAAAATGTGAATAATTTAAAACATTCTGTGTAATAACTTAAATTTCCTGGCAGCTGGGTGAGCATAAGTTGAATATCCATATAAAGGGCTGAATAGAAACCAAGGAGCTCAACTTATAGATGTGACTAGTAATTCTGGATGCTTCAATTTTGGGTGCCCATATTGATATCCTAAAGAGGTATGATATTCAGAAGTGTTAAGTTTCCAACTTCTGAAAATCAATCTCCAGTAATGTGTCTTCAATAGAGGACCCAGAAATGGAGGCACCTGAAGTTACTAATCAGTCAAAAATTTAGGTCTGAGTCCTTGTAAACAGGCAGCACCCTTAATAGATTATCATAGTGCTGATTATTATAATTATATTTGCACTCTTATGTCCAAGACTATTAGTTAACTTTTCTTGTCTTTAAAATTACCTAATCTATTTTTAATGCATATTCATTATAGAATATTGTCCTCTCTGGAGGTTCAACCATGTTCAGGGACTTCGGTCGCCGTTTACAACGAGATTTGAAAAGAACTGTTGATGCCCGGCTGAAACTTAGTGAGGAACTCAGTGGTGGCAGACTGAAGGTTTGTTTCCTTAGCTAATACACTAAACTAATGTTTGCAATTCATGTGTATCTTTTTAGTAGGCTTTTTTTTTTTACTGGACATTCTAAGTAACAGAGGAATTAAGAATTTCCTGTTTGTCAAATTGAATTAAAATTGGTTCTTTATATAAAGCTCTAGCTTATTTTAACAGGGATTAATGTATTATAATGGACTCCTGAGAATAGTCTCTACACAATGTTTGTCTTTATAGAGGGCTGTGGTGCTGCTTCCTTTGCTTTACAACTGGACTGCCCATTCCTTGCTGCAGTCATGAGATGTAGAAACCTCAGGGTACATCTACACTGCAGTCTGATGTGTGTGGCTGACTTGGGGTTCTGAGGCGAAGGGGGAGCGGTCTATTGAATTTAAGTGTTCCTGTTAGGATTTGGGATGAGGACTAACCTCTCGGATCCTCCCACCTCACAGGGTCCTACAGGCCAGGCTGCAGCCTGTGCCTAAAGGTGTATGCTGCAATTACTAGCCCATTCGTCCCATGAGCCCAACTCAACTTGCACTGGCCTGTTGCAGATTTAATTGAAGCGTAGACACATTCTCCCTCTCAATAGCTGAGTAGGGTTTACTCCTGTTCGGGGAGAGGCACTCCATCCTACTTATAATATACTGACCGTGACCTTGCTTTTTGTAAACAAAAATAAAAACAACAAAACATGAAAATTTGAGGTAAAATGATTTTCTAATCTTTGGTGGTAGGTGGGAGTTAATTGGGTCCTAAATCTGATTTCAATGCAGCGTTGGTTGGATAAGTGTTTTTTATTTCTTTGGGCTACTCTAGGTATATTGTTTTCCTTACAAATACTAAACATCTCTCACCTATTATGTTTTCAGTATTGTTGTAGCTGTGTTGTGCACAGGATATTAGAGACATGTATTCCCCGATTGAAAATAACCTAATTGAGTTTTTGATAAGACTCGCTGACAGAACTACTTGAATCAGGCAGCTGCTTTCTCTTTCTGACATTGCCTGTCTGAATCATCTGCAGTGATCTTGATATTCCTCTGGGGAGCCAGAGAGGCAGGGAAAGTAGCAAAGGCCAGGAAAGATGTAAAGCAAGGGTGGGGATCTTCAGGCCCAGGGCCTGGATGCAGCCCCTGGCTTATTTGGATCTGGCTGCTGCGGTTCAGGGCTTCCCCCCCCCAGCATTGGGAAGCCCACACTGACCTTCCAGTTCTCCCACCTTGCCCCACAGAGCTGGAGCCCCCAAATCTCTGGTGTGTGAGGGGAATGTGGGGAGTGTTTATCTTAATCAGTGAGAGACTTTTTTTTTGTGTGGTCTCTTGTTTTTTCTTTGCTTCCCATTTGTGTGTGTGGCCTGACTAATTTTTCTGTTGGTCAGCGGCCTCTAACCCCAAAAAGGTTCCCCTCCCCAAAGTAAAGCAACAAGAGCGCCATGGGAACATGACTGAAAGTTTGTAAAGACTGAGGAGATAGCAAGTGTGGTACTCTGAAGAAATAAGGTGTGTCCAAGGGAGGGAGTACAGGATTTATTGGAAGGTAGAAAGGGAGGTGCCTTGGTTCTGGGAGTGTTACAAGCAGTAACTACGTAACTGCAGGGGTACTTGGCTTTTCTAGCACACTATCCGCACTGGCAGAGCCACACATCCTGTGCCAAAGCCTTGCTACAGCAAAGGCTTCCCCATTGTACTGTTGCTTCAATGTCCTAGTGCATATATTCAGTCACAAATGCCTCAGCACAGAGATATTGGATTCCATCCCAGACCAACAACCTAGGTCCTTTTATTTTCCCCAACAGTATATCAAATATAGAAAAATCAAAACTCATCGGACTTATTTATTGCATCACCTTACATAACACTATTAATAGTTGCAAACAATAACCTTGCAAAATGATAAAACTTACCTGTAGTGATGCAGTCATTGTTTGAAACACTTGCAAAACACAGCACCTCTCTTCCCTTCTCTTCCCTCCAATGTATCTTTTCATCTTTCCATTATGTACCATTTCCTCAGGTTAACACACTTCATATATTTCAGTTAGTTTAATTCATGGTCATTCAGCACCACAAACCCAAATGTTCCCATCGTTATAAAATTACATCATACACACGATTTCCTGCAACACCAATACTCCAGACAGTGAGGAAAAATCCATTTCTAACTATTTCAAGGTTTGGAGTTAGAATTTTCATGTTTTGTGTGAATGTAGAGAAGAAAATGCAGCTTTCTAGATGTCCTAATTTAGAAAAGGAAAAGGTAGTGCTGTAGAGTATGAAGTGATGGCCTGGAATGCCACATAAAATGTAAAGTAACTTTTTTGAAATACTTTATTTGGGGGACTAGTATGTGTATGGTAGATGTGTAAACCTAGCATAGTGCATATGTATGTTGTATTTAAGAAGTTATTTAAATATGAGAACTAAACTTACATCTGTAAAAAAAGTTCACACTTCATTTAGCATTACTAGTAATATCAATTTTTAATGTGTTCATCTTGTTTTCCTTTGTAGCCCAAACCTATTGATGTACAAGTTATTACCCATCACATGCAAAGATACGCAGTTTGGTTTGGAGGATCAATGCTGGCTTCCACAGTAAGTTGGTTATAAAACTTCACGTGGTTCAATCATTCTAGGTATGCTTTGGAGTCTTACTCTATTCTTGATGCACATTTATAGCTCCTGATTTAATGGGGGGATTAGTAATACCTCTGGAGGAAAATATAAACTCCTTTGAGTCTAATAAAGATTTTTAAGATATAAAGGAGCAAATGACAGCCATATGTCATGAAATGTATTTGTTTAGAATAGTCACATTATTCTGAATGAGTGTCCTTATTGCATACAGTATTTGGCTGTTTGGCAAAATATGATGTCTGTTTTATGAATTTGTTTAGCAGTAATTCATAACTAAGTACAGTGTTTACAAGTTCAATATACCTTTGTTTTTCTAGTTGAGATGACATATAGTTGAAATGCATCAAGCAAACAGAGCATCTGACTTTTTGTTTCTCCTTTTTCAGCCTGAGTTCTACCAAGTATGCCACACCAAAAAAGATTATGAAGAGATTGGTCCTAGCATCTGTCGTCACAACCCCGTGTTTGGAGTCATGTCCTAAAACTGACCTCAGAGGGGTCAGGCCTAGAGAAGTGGGGAAAAGGAGGGTCTTTCTGATTACTTGTTTGTCTGGATGGCGGGTATTAAGATAACAAACATGACTTGACAATAAGAAAAAGACCAAACTGAATTAAACAGGAATATTTTAATAAGTGTCTCAATATGCGGATATAGTGGAAAGCCAAAATAATTAAAGGTGTTTTTTTTCTTTAGATTGAATATTTGAATCTGTGCGTAACACAACAAAGAAGTGGGTTTTAGTTATTTCTGTGCCCTGATATTTTGTATATTAACGAATTATCCAAGATTTGATGGGGTTTGATGGTGTGTAGATAGCCAGCTATCTAATGCTTCAGTTGTACTCTTTACATGTGTACAATGCAAGAACTTGTTTATATTTCATACTTTTTTATACTTTGAGGGAAAATATCAAAGAAAAACTGTAATATTTGAGGAAAATGACCAACTTGATGGTAAATTAAAATAAATAAATAATGGGCACATGAAGCTTACTCATGTGACTCTAGTTATTACAAATTATGACCAGTCTAAATTCTCGGTTCCAATTTTGCAAGTGCTTTTGGAACAAAGAAGCTTGGGTTAACTGATGCCTGCTAGTGCTTTCTGATTACTCGGTGCATTTTCATTCTATTTCTTGCTTTAAAAAAAAAAAAAAAAAAGTAAAGACAAGTCTGTTGGACCAGTATTGCAGTTCCGTAGTGTCATTTCTAATTAAATAATTCAATTATCAAAAGAGGTGTATTTAAAGCCTAACACCATTCCAATAAAGACACAACATTTCTTTTTATATTTGTGTGAGGTTTTGTTAATTTCATTGCATAGTAAGTCTGGAGAGTGTCTTCATACACATCTTAGCTGGCTTACAAGACACAGATCACTATGGCTGTGTCTAGGCTGTAGGGTTTTTTCAAAAAAAGTAGCCTTTTTTTTTTTTTTTTTTTTTAAAAACCCCAACCTTAACTTCTGATAACACGCGGTTTGTATACACCAGTGTTTCCCCTTCTTTAGATGGCGGTACTCATTTCACAAGGAAGAATGCCTTTTTCGACGGAGATCCATCAAAAAAAGTGTGTGTAGACGTGGGCAGCCAGTTTTTTTTTTTTTTTTTTTTTAAAGGGCCTCTAGGAAGAATCCCTGGTGGACAGTCCGGGGCATGCCTTGCATTTCTCTGGTTCCTGTCTACAGCCATCTTTTAAAGGGACAGTCACCCTCACAGCCAATTGTGGCAGCAAAGCAGCCAGAGCACACTGCTCTCCCAGTGCAGCCATGTCCCAGCCCCAAGACCCTCCTGGCCCTTCCAGACTGCCTCCTGGGGACCCAACCAGGGGCTCCAAACACCGGGCACTGGCATGGTCTGGTCCTTCTTGAGCTCCGGTCAGAGGAGGAGGCCTTACAAGCCCTGAACACCAGGTGGCGAAATGCAGACATTTTTGGCGGCATGGCAGAGGCCCTGGCCAAGAGAGGGCACCACCCACGCACCCAGGACCAGGTGCGCTCTAAAGTGAAGGAGCTGTGCCAGGGATATGTCAAGGCCAGGGAGGAGTGCTCCCGTTCTGAGGCAGTCTCCCACTACTGCCCTTATTACTCTGAGCTGGCCCAGATCCTTGGTGGTGGGGAAGCACGCACACCGCTGTCTCCTCTAATCTGGCTTGGGGGACCCTGTGGTGGACGTGCCAGTGCAGGACATAGAACAGTCCAGGGAGTCTGGAGACGGGGAGATGGTGCCGGAGGGGGAGGACAGCAAGGAGATGGTGACCCTCACTCTGGAGCTGGTGACCCAGACCCCAGAGGCCTCCCAGGCATTATCTGATGCCAGAGATGAAGCAGCAGGTGAGTGCAATGAGGTTGTGTAACACACAGGGTGGGGGAGGTGGGTGCACAGTGGGTGATGCACAAGGGAAACCTATAATGCTCACCCTGGACATAATGCAGCTGGCTGTGCATGTGCCAACATGTCACACTCTACGCTGAACACATGGGGGTGCGCCATGTGGTGGCATAAACCATGTCTGGAGCACACCCAGGTGGGTTGTCAGTGCGAGGTCCCATTGGCACTTCGGGACCCCTGTGATGCTCAGGCTGATGCCCAGGTCACACATGGTATTACCTTCAGAGCATCTGAGCTCCCTGTCTGAAGGAGAGGGCATGCCCTTTTGGACAGCTGTTGCGCACACATGACTAATTGTGTCTTCCTCTTTTCCTCCACAGCCGGACCAGCCGTGCAAGAGGGCTGCAGCACCCCAGCCCCACCTCCGTCCCAGGGGCATGGGAGCTGCAGACACAGATGTGTCTATGCAGACATCTTGAGGCAGCATGTGGCGGCCCTGAAGGAGCTCAACACCATCCTGCAAGAGGAAGGAGGCAGAGGCTCTGTGGCATGATGGGTTGATGGAGGAGCTTGTCCAGCAGCGCATGTCCCTGTGTGCCACTCTCAGGGAGGTCTGTGGCTTGCCTGCTCCTGTGCCTGGTCCTGCTCCTCCAGCACACCATGACCCTGCCCCACCAAACCCCCCTTCCACAGCACCATCCCCTTCCCCCCTTGTACCTCCTTCTCCCCCAGTCCTCCAGCACCCCTCTTCCCCAGGCCTCCCAGACCGAAGTGCACCTACCCTCTCTTGTCCAGCCAACGCTCAAATCGCTCCACCAAATCCCAAGGCCATGGTGGACCCTGAACGCGAGGCACCAGGAGCCTGCGGGCAGGCAAGCACGGTTCAACCTGATCCCCTTCCCCCCTCCAGGTGTTTAAGCACCCCAGTTAAACACAATGTTGGGTATTTAAGAAAATGTTTATTTTTGATGCAGAAAGTATACTTTGAGAAAAAACTATGTACAATAAACAAAAGATTTCATGTTTGCAACATTTCTACATTCTTTCAGTTATTGATATTTACTACAATAAAACAGAAGTTATTCTTTTCAGACAAAACCTGGTGTTTGTTATTTCTACAAACAAGGTCAGGGTGAGGATTCAGGAGGGAAGGTTGTATTGCCAAGCCCCCAGACAGGAGGCCCTCAGGAGAGTCAGTGGCCTCCATTAGAGAATCGCTCCCGTAGGGCCTCCCGGATGCGAACACCAGACTGGTGAGCATGGCAGATGGCAGCTCTCTGGGGCTGGTCAAAGTGCCTCTCTTGACCATCAGTACCTGTACCCTACCCTGGTAGGAAGGCCTCCCCTTTCCTGTCCACCAGGTTATGTAGAACGCAATACGCGGCCACCACCTCAGAGATGTTACATTCCCCCATTTCTAGTCATGTGAGCAAGCACTGGAATCTCCCTTTTAAACGTCCGAATGCATATTCCACCTGGTTGCGAGCCTGGTTAAGATGAGCATTAAACTGCATCTTGCTTGCATCCAGGTGTCCGGTGTAGGGCTTGCAGCCACGGCATTCGGGGTAGGTAGCATCAGCCACTGCACGCTGGCATGTGCACGTCCCCAACCGCAAAGTCATGATGCGGAAAAAATGTTCCTGCCTGCAGCCTCCAGTAGACATGAGTTCCTGAAGATGAGGGCATCATGTGCCCGCCCCGACCACCCAACACAAATGTCAGTAAATTGTCCCCGGTGGTTGACCAGGGCCTGGAGCAACATTGAAAAGTAGTCCTTCCTATTAATGTATTGGGCTGCTCAATGGGGCGGTGCACGGATTGGGATGTGTTTCCCATCAAGCGCTCTTCCACAGTTCAGGAAGCCAAGGGCAGTGAAGTTGGCCACAACAGTGTCCAGGTCTCCCAGATGGATGAACATGTTCAGCAGCTCTGAATTGATGGCCCTCACCACCTGCAGAAAGAGACAAATAGACAGACCAAAAAAATGTTAGGCAGGGTGCTTGAAACCTTGGGATTAGAACACCTCCAACCTGCCCCCCCAAATACCCTGGGAATCCCCTCCTCAGGCCCCCCACCCCGAACAGTGCAGGGTTAGTGGAGGAGCTCCCTCCCACTCTCACTCCACCCCATCCCCCACTCCTCCTTGCCCTTTCCTGACAGTTCCCTTTTTTCACCCCTCCAGCAGTGACTGTCTCCCTAGAATGACTTACCTCCATCAAGATGGCACCAAGAGTAGACCTGCCCATGCCAAACTGGTGTCCCATGGAGCAGTAGCTGTCGGGCGTTGAGAGCTTCCAGAGGGCAATAGCGACCCTCTTTTCCAGGGGGATGGTGGGGCTCAGGTGCATGTCCTGTCTTTGGAGAGCAGGGGCAAGCCAGGCACACAGCTCTTGGAATGTGGCCTTCCACATCCGGAAGTTGCAGAGCCACTGGACCTGGACCAGAGATATGGTCATTCCACAACTCCATAATGAGCTAGTCCCACCAGTTAGAGCCAGTGTCAAGCCTCAAAAAATGCCTCTCCAGAAAGGAGTTTGGAGGCAAGGGCATTGGTCCTGCATGCCAGGTGAAGCTTTCATATCTCTGGTCCAGGTCCAGATGGGGAAGGAGCATCATGACTGTGTCATGCAGATGCAGCAGAATTTGCAGAATGATGGTGTGGGGCCATTGCCTGCCCAGGGGCAGCTCTGGCTCCATGGCAAAAAAAGGGATAAAAATCAGAAAAACCTCCCAAAAAAAACCAAGGTGCTGTGGTGTCCCAGGAAGTAGGGCACTCACAGCAAGCACTGCAAAACCTTTTCTGTCCCTCTAGGAGGTAAGCAAGGCAGCTGCAGGAGCAGAGCAACTGCTGTTCAGGGGGCTCCCTTTAAGCACGCGTCTCTGCAAAGGGCAGGCAGCAGCACCAGGAAGTAAACCCCTCTTCCCCAGGCCTCCCAGACCGAAGTGCACCTACCCTCTCTTGTCCAGCCAACGCTCAAATCGCTCCACCAAATCCCAAGGCCATGGTGGACCCTGAACGCGAGGCACCAGGAGCCTGCGGGCAGGCAAGCACGGTTCAACCTGATCCCCTTCCCCCCTCCAGGTGTTTAAGCACCCCAGTTAAACACAATGTTGGGTATTTAAGAAAATGTTTATTTTTGATGCAGAAAGTATACTTTGAGAAAAAACTATGTACAATAAACAAAAGATTTCATGTTTGCAACATTTCTACATTCTTTCAGTTATTGATATTTACTACAATAAAACAGAAGTTATTCTTTTCAGACAAAACCTGGTGTTTGTTATTTCTACAAACAAGGTCAGGGTGAGGATTCAGGAGGGAAGGTTGTATTGCCAAGCCCCCAGACAGGAGGCCCTCAGGAGAGTCAGTGGCCTCCATTAGAGAATCGCTCCCGTAGGGCCTCCCGGATGCGAACACCAGACTGGTGAGCATGGCAGATGGCAGCTCTCTGGGGCTGGTCAAAGTGCCTCTCTTGACCATCAGTACCTGTACCCTACCCTGGTAGGAAGGCCTCCCCTTTCCTGTCCACCAGGTTATGTAGAACGCAATACGCGGCCACCACCTCAGAGATGTTACATTCCCCCATTTCTAGTCATGTGAGCAAGCACCGGAATCTCCCTTTTAAACGTCCGAATGCATATTCCACCTGGTTGCGAGCCTGGTTAAGATGAGCATTAAACTGCATCTTGCTTGCATCCAGGTGTCCGGTGTAGGGCTTGCAGCCACGGCATTCGGGGTAGGTAGCATCAGCCACTGCACGCTGGCATGTGCACGTCCCCAACCGCAAAGTCATGATGCGGAAAAAATGTTCCTGCCTGCAGCCTCCAGTAGACATGAGTTCCTGAAGATGAGGGCATCATGTGCCCGCCCCGACCACCCAACACAAATGTCAGTAAATGACCACAATGGTTGACTGGGGCCTGGAGGACGGTTGAAAAGTAGCCCTTCCTGTTAATGA